CCATCCCTCCTCCTCCCCTTCCCCTCCCCTTCCTCCCCCTCTCCCTTCCCCTCCCCCTCTTCCTCCGTCCCTTCACCCTACCTCCGCTCTCCCATCCCACCCCCTCTCCTGCCCCCCCACCACTCCTTCCTCTCCTCCTCCACACCTCTCCCCCCATCCTCCTCCCCCCTCCTCCCCCCCCCACACACACACCCCTCTCCCCACGGCACAATCCAAGGGCCATAATTCTGGATAATAATGACATTAATAGCAGGAAAATGATAACATTCAAGTGAGATGTTGTACACACACACCTACAACTGTTTAGTTAGGTTGGGTTTTTGTTAGGTTAGGTAGATGAATTGACCTGTACGATATAACGTCATTTTTCCCGCCTAACCTAACCTAACCTAACCTAACCTAACCTAACCTAACAATAGTGTCAAAGGAATCACTTGACCTTGACGGGGGGCCAATAGGAGTCCCTGTTACCTCAATCCTTCACTACCCCGTCCTAGTGGCTATTGATCACTATTGACACACTGTATTCACTGCCAGTGTGTGTGTGTGTGTGTGTGTGTGTGTGTGTGTTACTCTATATGTGTATATTACTGTGTGTGTATGTATGTATGTGTATTAAATATGTATGTGTGTGGTGTATATTAAGCGTATGTCTGTGATTTGTTTAACACACATGTAAGCTTAAGTAAATCTGCCAGCACTCAGAGCTTAATATACTGGACTATCAAAGCTTAGGTACGACCGACATTTCTACATTCAACATCCCATTAAATTTGTGTTTTAGTTTAGTGATGGTCATGATATTGGTTTAATTACACTAATGATAATAACAATAATAATAACAATAATAATAATAATAATAATAATAATAATAATAATAATAATAATAATAATAATAATAATAATAATAATAATAATAATAATAATAATAATAATAATAATAATAATAATAATAATAATAATAATAATAATAATAATAATAATAGCCCTGACAGATGCATTTACGTATCTCATGATTTAGCTCGTAATGAAAGAATGTGTTCGTCCTAACCTAACCTAACCTAACCCACACACACACACACACACACACACACACACACAGCTGGCACACAGTTTCTCAACTTTCTCTTCAAACACGTTTATACGTCTGTAAATACTTGCTTTCACCAAGTTGTCCCTTTTTTTTTTTTTTTTTTTTTTTTTTTTTTTTTTTTCTCTCTTATGGTTGTTAAAGGTAATGACACATCAGCAGACAGAGGGCATGTCATCAATAACGATCTCCTGGCCTTACAGATCCTCGCTCTTGTGATGATGTTGTGATGATGTTGTGATGTTATGGTGTTGTGATGATGATGTTGTGATGATGATGTATGTTGTGATGGTGTGATGATGTGATGATGATGTTGTGGTGATGTTGTGATGATGTTGTGATGATGATATGATGTTGTGATGATGTTGTGATGATGTTGTAATGATGTTGTGATGATGTGACGTGGTGGTGACAGGCCTCGGAGTTGCTGGGCTGAGGGCTGAGAGCTAAGGACTGAGGGCTGAGGACTGGGGACCGAGGGCTGAGGACTGAGGGCTGAGGACTGAGGATTGGGGACTGAGGGCTGAAGACTAAGGACAGAGGGCTGAGGACTGAGGGGGCCTTCTCGTGTGAGCCCTGTGATGGATAGGCCGGAGACGCAACAATGGGGGCGAGAGAGGTGTAGGTTGGCTTAAAGTGAGGTTAGGTTAGGAGGGGCTATTCTTTAGGTTAGGTTAGGTTAGGAGGAGAGCCTAGGTTGAGTTAGGAGGGAGCTAGGTTAGGTTAGGAGGCTGGGGTTAGGTTAGGAGGGGCTAGGTTCGGTGGGAGGGGTTATTCCTCAGGTTAGGTTGGGTTAGGAGGGGGCTAGGTTAGGGCTAGGAGGGCTAGGTTGGGTTAGGAGGAGCTGAGTTGGGTTGGAGGGACTAGGTTAGGTTAGGAGGGGTTATTCCTCAGGTTAGGTTAGGTTAGGAGGGGCTAGGTTAGGGTTGGAGGGAGGTTGGTCCTCAGGTTAGGTTAGGTTGGGAGGGCTAGGTTAGGTTGGAGGGGTTATTCTCAGGTTGGGTTAGGCTAGGAGGGGCTAGGTTAGGTTAGGAGGGGTTATTCCTCAGGTTAGGTTAGGTTAGCTTCAGTCCTCAGGTATATAATGTAATATCTACAATTAATCTTTTCTCTGCTGTGATTTTCTGTTTGTTTACGGCTGGTGTCAGTAAGTGGTTGACTGTCTTGTACACTGACGGGTTAAAGTTTAATAATTCTAACTGACGGAGTAAAGTTTATTCTCTTTTGGCTTTGGTTTATTTAAATTTCATCGTATTTTTTCTCCCGATTAATTAATTTATAGTTATATTGGTTTAGTCTGTCCTGGGGTTTTAAATCTTCTCTCATTAATAAGGCATATAAACAAACATTTTAAACACACAAGGAAAAAACATCCCTCCCCCTTCCTCCTTTCTTTTCCCTCCTTTCCCATCCTGTAACCCCTCTCCTTTCCCCCCCCTCCCTCACCTCTCCTCTCTCACAAATCATAATGTAGACGTTAAGAAGAAGATCTCCCTCCCCCTTCCTCCCCTTATCCCCCACAGATCACAGAATAGACTTCAACAGACAGATCACCCACTCTTCCCTCCTCCTCACCCACCCCCCTTAATCTAGTTTACGAGTACAAAACTAACCCATAATCCCGTATTTTCCTTTATTTATTTTTTTTTTTCACCCTTATTAATTTCCTCATGACGCTCACCCTCTCTTCCTTCCCCTCCTCTTTTCTCTACCTTACCCCTTCCTCTCGTATAAAATGGTCCGCTGATGATATTTGTGAAGGGTCAGAAGAAGACGTACAACTTCCTCGAACATTAGTATTCTACGCTTCACGACACACACACACACACACACACACACACACACACACACACACACACACACACACACACACACACACACACACACGGACGGACTCAAAAGACAAACAGATCAGTCAGACAGATTCTCCATCATTGTGGCTTGTGGTTGGTCAGGCGGAGAATATAATGGACTTTGAATTCAGTTGTGGTTTTCCGATTACACCCATTGCCAAGGTGGAGAAAGGAGAGGGAGATGTGAGTGGGGAGTGGGGGGTGATGGTGGTGAGGGGTAGTGGTGGTGGTGAGTGGGGTAGTGGTGGTGGTGAGGGGTGATGGTGGTGAGTGGGGTGATGGTGGTGAGGGGGTGGGTGGTGGGGGGTGGTGAGTGGGGTAGTGGTGGTGGAGGGGGTAGTGGTGGTGGAGGGGTAGTGGTGGTGAGGTAGTGGTGGTGAGTGGGGAGAGGGTGGTGGTGGTGAGTGGGGGAAGTTGGTGGTGGTGTAGGGGGGGTGGGATGGTGGTGATGATGTAGGGGTGGAAGGGTTAGTTGATTACAGGTAAGGAGGTTAAGTTAGGTTAGGTTAGGTTAGGGTTAACTTACATCAGATCCGGTTTCAAGCTTGGGTTATGAAGAGAGAGGAGGAGAGAGAGAGAGAGAGAGAGAGAGAGAGAGAGAGAGAGGGGAGGGGAAGAAAAAGTGAATTAAGAGAAGCTAAAACCTTCTTGGCCTCATCCCAGGACTAAGATGTGAGATATCTTTAAAAGTTCCGCCGCTGGAGAGCCTCTGTCTGTCTGTCTTTAATTGTCTCTACCTAAAAAGATAGACAATAAATGGAACAGAAAACAAATGAAAGAAAATGGGTAAAAGAACAAAGAAAACGTAGTCCTGGTTACCAAATGACGTCATACCAGTTAATCAACCAATCAGAGACCAGCAATTACGAGCGAATTACCTCATTATGACTGTCAGTTTAATCTGCATTAGTGGATCTCTGGTATTGGGGGGGGGGGTAATTAAGGTATTATTCTGTTCATTGATTCTCCAGGACTTGTTGGACATACATACATACATACATACATACATACATCATACACATTAGCCTTCAGCCATAAAAATAAATTAAACATCAGTTAATGAAAAGAACTCAACTAACGACTCTGAGAAACTTGATAATAACGGAGGTAAGTGAGGATAAAAGTGGGAACAGGGAAACACTAACAGGAAAGTACAGAGTGAAGGGGAAAAAACCTTACTTAATGTGAAGGTTTAATACCGCTTGCGTTAAACCAGAAGAGTTATTGGAGAATTTATTAAACCACGGGAGGAGGTGAGAGAGAGAGAGAGAGAGAGAGAGTGATATTATTATTATTATTTTTATTATTATCATTATCATTAATGACGAAATTTTATCCTTAAAATGTCAAATAATTTAACGTATAAAACACAAATTGACGAAACAAAATCCCAACTATAACGTCACACATTTGTATATAAACTGTATATATATATATTTGCTCCTTTCCTCTTAAACAGTGTTACCACATAGAGCTGTTACTCTCCTCCTCCCTAGCTATCAGTCACTTCCCCTAGTCAGTGTTACCATGTAGCGAGACAGACCTAAACTGGTTAAATTTATCGCTAGACCAACCAAGCTAATTACATGTCACTCTCGTATTAAAGGAATTACCGATTTTAACAGAGAAATATAACCTGTGTTTAGTAAGGTTCTCTGTATCAATGTTTAGTGTTGTAGCCAGTGTTGTTATAGCCAGTGTTGTTGTAGCCAGTGTTGTTGTAGCCAGTGTTGTTGTAGCCACTGTTGTTGTCGCGTCTAACTCGACTTATAATAGCAAACTTCTCCTGTAAATAACCATTACCGTTGTTTAAATAGCCACTGTTGGTGTACTAGCAACGGAGTGTAAATAGCCAAATTCAGCGTTTAAAATAACCACGTTGCCGTGTGAATAGCCAGTCCTGACGCACTACCACTGACGCACAAACAAGACCAACTTACCGTACAAAAATAGCCAACTTTACCTAACGAATCGCCACTTGTGTCGCATAAATAGCCAATCTTGAGGAACAAATAGCCACTCTTGACGTACGACACACTATACGTCGCCAAACTCACCGTACAACACGACGCTGGCCTCCGACACGCCCTCAGAGTTATTGGCGCGACACCTGTAACCCATTATGTCCTCCTCTCGTACGCTGTTGATGGTCAGGTACATTATTCTCTGCGACGCGTTGACGGACTGCACTGTGCTGACGTATTTCTGCACCTGTGGATAGAGGGAGCAACGGAAGGGAACGGAACGGAAGGGAAGGGAAGGGAGAGGAGAGGAGATGAGAAAGAAATTAGTGGTATATTACTTCTTGGGTGAAATATTACAATTATTATAATAGAGTTACAGAAATACAATAAAAAATACAGTATGGAACGATGAAGAGGTACTATAGAGAAGGATTACAGTGTTACAGTTATCCATTGGGACAGTACCTGAATGATACCACCGTCCAGTGATGAAGTGGTACCATATTATAGGGTTACAATGGAACAATAGAGACACCGAGTATTACTATAAATGCTCTTGTCCAAATGGAAGTGTATAGCTGGTGAATAAAAATGTATAAACTCCGTGATTGGCGCCTTTAGGGGAGAGAGAGAGAGAGAGAGAGAGAGAGAGAGAGAGAGAGAGAGAGAGAGAGAGTGTGTGCGTGGTAAAAGAGAGAATGAATGATGAGAGAGAGAGAGAGAGTTATTATTCACTTATAAGGTAATTATAAGTGACTCTTATATGAAAGACCTTTTTCAAGTTCCCTCCCACTTCTTCCCTCCTCTTCTCTCTCTATTCCTTCATTACTTTCCTTCTCTAATTACTCTTTTCTCTCCTACAATCCCCGTCTTCCTCCTCTCCCTTACCTTCCAACTCATTCTACGTCTCCCTCTATCTTTCCTTCTCCGTTCATCCGTTCCCCATGTATTCTCTTCCCCCTTCCCCTCCTTCACCACTTCCCTTCCCTCCCTCTTCCTACCTTTCCCCCCTCCTTCACCCCTTCCCTTCCCTCCCCCTTCCTTCCCTCCCTCCCTACCTTCCCTCCTCCTACCTTTCACCCTTCTTCACTTCTCCCCTTCTCCTCAAATCTCCCTCTCCTCGCTCCCCTCCCTCTCCTCGCCCCCCTTCTTTCTCTCACCTTCCTCCCCTTCCCTCCCCCAAAAATAGTAGCCTGGCTCAGAACTTGACTGCCATTGCTCAAATGGTTTTGCAGCGGAAGGGGCGGGGGTGGGGGCTGTGTATATTTTTTATTATTTCTTTTGTATTTACGCTAGAAATTTGTAACCAAAAAAGACATTTATATGTAAATTAGTGTGTGTGTGTGTGTGTGTGTGTGTGTATGTGTCTGTATGTCTGACTCTGTACATATGTCTGGTGCACAAGGATTTTTACACATGGGACCAGCGGGCTGACCTGACCTAACCTAACCTAGCCTCACCTAACCAAACTAACCACACATAACTGAGACAAGCTTTACTAAACACAAGATAATACATATTAACGATGTACCACTGGCCAATTCACCCGTCTACCGAGAACTAAACAACCAATTAGTGAGATCGTATCACCTTGCGAGTGTAGGTGTATAAGAATTTCCTTTACAAGAATCGAACCAACATCATTTATAGAATAAGATGACAACACTACCACGGTGCCAAAATTTTTTATTTATATAGAAAAAAGAGGTTTACAGTGTACTATATCCGCATTACCTCCCAATAGGTAGTTAGGCCTATACAAAATGTACAGTAGAGGCCTATGGAAGCCTACTCTCACTTTTCATGTGTATGTAAGAGCTTGGTTTAATACCCTGGTTTATGGAGGCCTTTAAAGGGGTTTAAACGATGTATTACACGATAGTTACTGAGATGGGAGGGTGAAGGGTGAGGAGGAGAGAGAGATTTGGGGATTATGGAAGGCGATAAAGAGAGAGAGAGAGAGAGAGGGAGAGAGGGAGGGAGAGAGAGAGAGACTTTGTTTTATACTTTTCCTTGGGTCGATGATTTTATCTTTACTGAGAAAAGAAAGAATTTTTACTGAGTTGATGAAATTCTCTTTGGCATTTTGATTTTATTTTTTATTTTTTTTATTTTTATTTTTTACTCGTTGGGAGGGGTTGAGAGGAAGAGAGGTCAATTTTCCACTGGTTACGTTCTGACACACAAGGAATTCAATCGTCTCTTCAGATTAGCATTTGGGTGGTGGATTCGCTTCTCTGTTTTACTTATTATTCCTGTAAACGAAAATGAATGTAAAGGAACAGAGTGAAATGGGAATTAAAGCAACTTTCTTACATTAATAGGATTTTGATATAACACACACACACACACACACACACACACACACACACACACACACACACACACCCAAACTCCCCGATATAATTATAACCATTAACCATGATCGTTCAGTGACTAGATTCACCACAACACGCCACTATGAACCTAAAGATACATATACACTAAGACCACATTCCTAACGCATTCCCTCTACACCGCTTTGATAGTGAGGTGGGGCAGGTGGGGGGGATGGGGGGGTGATGGGGAAGGGGTAGGTGGGGGGATAATTAGACAGGTACTCATGTTGACGATAATGCAGCCAGCGAGTGAGTATTGGTATGCCTTTGATGACCGTGTAGAGTGAGGTTGGCGGTAGGACAAGTGGGTCTCTGGCTTGATGTAATTATGTGTGTGTGTGTGTGTGTGTGTGTGTGTGTGTTGGGTGTGTGTGTGTGTGTGTGTGTGTGTGTTGGGGTGTGTGTGTGTGTGTGGATGAATTTGCACACCTCATTAGTAGAGAGAGAGAGGGAGAGAGAAATTAACAAAAGCAGATATACCAAACACAACAACACCAAACAAACAAACAAACAAACAAACAAGCAAACAAACAAACACTCCCAGAAAAAAACGCGCCCCCCCCCAAAAAAAAAAAAATCACTCAAATCGTTAATGGATAGAAGACTTGATAATCCTACCTCATAAATCCCCAGTAATCCCTGTATAACTAGGATTAATACAGACATCTGGGATAAATCCATCTCTTACCAGTTTTCACGAGGGTGGGATTTATTCTTTTTCGCTCTAAAACTTAATTTCCGGCTGAAGATTAACACAATGCAGCTATCTGTCGAGCGATTTATTTCTCTTAGTGTGGAAAATTGCTGTCTGTTTTTCTTTCATTGGCGTACTATTATGATTCTTGGAGTGAGAGAGAGAGAGAGAGAGGCAGGGGATAGGAGTGAAATAGAAGGAGGTAGGTGAAAAGAGAGAGACAGGGTAAGTGAAACGTGGGTTGCTATTACCGTAGACTTTCACCACTGGTCCGTCTCCAACGACTGAGACATCTCCTATAAACTTGACTCTAATTGAGAGAGAGAGAGAGAGAGAGAGAGAGAGAGAGAGAGAGAGACCACACCACCTGCCTCTCTCAAAGGGTATTTGGGCTGGTCTAATGAAGGGCTGTTTGGCGTAACTTGACGTGTGTATCATATATGTTGTGTGGCTACCTGTTGACGGTGCACGGGCTGAGGGGGAGGGGGGGGGAAGGTGAGGTGAAGAGGGGAGGAGAGAGAGAAGGGGAGGGAGGAGAGGTGAAGAGTAAGGGAGGAGAGAGAGAAGGGGAGGGAGGGAGAGGTGAAGAGTAAGGGAGGAGAGAGAGAAGGGGAGGGAGGGAGAGGTGAAGAGTGAGGAGGGAGAGGGAGAGATATTAACTCGGCCAGAGGGGATGTTTCAACTGCCCTTAATGAAGTTGTGTTCGCAGGAAACTAGTGTGTGTGTGTGTAATACCAACAGGTGGGCAGGACACCAGGTGGGTGCTGGGGGAGGGGTTACTTAGCCAAAGTTGGTGTCGACGGCTGAGCTCAGGAGGCTCTTGGGGGTTGACTGAAGAAAAAAGAAAGAGACAATTTGGAGGGTTTTTCTTACCGTGTTTTTGTGTTTTGTATTTATTTCTGAGGTTAATTTGTTTTGTATTTTTATGTGTGTTTGTGTGCTGGGAAGTGAGATGGCAATGGGTGTTTTTATTATATATATGTCTCTCTCTCTGTCTGTCTGTCTTAACTTTCTTTCTTACTCTATCTCTCAATCTAACTCTTATTTTGTCACTTCTTTCTTACATCCTCCTTCCTCCCTCTCGCTTCTTTACCTGTAATGCATCTTAATTAACGTGTGTTGACAGTAGGATGAACTAGGGTCATCCCTCCCACCCTACATGAAGTAAAGGATTAACCTGACCCCAACACGTCTTAGAGCTCAACAACCTATCATACTGTAAGGGAATAGTGACCTAACCTAACCTAACCTAACCTAACCTTGTAAAGACCTTAGTTGTTGAAACTCGGTAGTACACACCCACATACACGCGACTCTAGATCACACCAACATACACGGGACTCTCAGATCACACCCACATACACGGGACTCTCAGATCACACCAACATACACACGGGGACTCTCAGATCACACCATACACGGGACTCTGATCACACCCACACACGGGACTCTCAGATCACACCAATATACACGGGGACTCTCAGATCACACCCACATACACGGGGGACTCTCAGATCAAGTTTTCTCTGTACACGAGACTCTCAGATCACACCAACATACACGGACTCTCAGATCACACCAACACACACGGGGACTTCAGACTACACCCACACACACGGGACTCCCCAGATCACACCCACATACACGGGGACTCTGATCACACCCACATACACGGGACTCTCAGATCACACTAACATACACGGGGACTCTCAGATCACACCAACATGCATGGGACTCTAGATCACACCCACATACACGGGGGACCTCAGGATCACACCCATACACGGGGACTCTCAGATCACACCCACATACACGGGACTCTCAGATCACGCCCACACACGGGTCTCTGATCACACCAACATACACGGGGACTTCCTGATCACACCAACATACACGGGGACTCTCAGATCACACCCACACTCTCAGATCACGCCTACATACACGGGGAAATTGTGAAATAAACATATTGACAGCGTCAGTAACGTCAGAGGGTTGCATAAACAACATGGCGATTACCTGAGGGACTGTAGCCCACACACACACACGTTAGGAGGCGAGTGAAGATGGCGACGCTAAATCATGAATGGTGACAAATGGACCTAACCCTAACCTGAACTCCCAATCCCAACCCCAACCCTAACCCCAACCTAACCTAACCTAACCCTCTAACTCCAACTCCAACCCCAACCTAACCTAACCTAACTCAGCTTCAACCCTTAACTCCACCTAACCTAGCCTAACCCTAACCCACCCTATCCTAACTAACCTATCCTACTCTCTCTCTCTCCTGCACCAGACGGCCAGGCACTGGGGCATTTGACCACCAGGACTCCCTCCCACATACTCATATCCCCACATCCTCCTCCCCCACATCCCCATATCCCCTCCCCCACATCCCCCCCTCCCCCCACACATCCTCTCATATCCCCCCTCCCTCACATCCTCCCATCCCCTCCACATCCCCCCCTCCCCACATTCCCCTCCCTATAGCCCCCCCACATCCCCCACATTCCCCACCTCTCACATCTCACACCACCTCCTCTTCCTCACCTGCATCAGACGGTCAGGTAGATGGTAGACATATGGCTGACTGGTGACTGGCTGACCGTAGTCCCTGAGCCATGCGACCTCTGGCTCCGGGTAACCGTCCACCACACAAGACAGATTGACAGACGCGCCCAGGTTAACCCAGACCCGAGGCTCATAGGCTCTTATCTGAGGCTCGACTGTAGGGGAGAGAGAGAGAGAGAGAGAGAGAGAGACAGACAGACAGACAGACAGAGAGAGAGGGAGAGACAGACAGACAGACAGAGAAAAAGAGAGACAGGCAGAGAAGAGGATAAGCGTTAATTAGAACTGATATAAATATATAATAAAATTCTTATACTAATTAGAAACTGTAAGAAAAAGTTAACATTAAAGATGCACTAGGCAAGCTAAACACTAAACCTCTATATAACGAATAATACAGAGAGGAAAGTCCCTTATATCGAGGGTAGAATAGGTCAGGTCAGGTTAGGTTAGGTTAGGTCTCGTGTCCTTATACCCGTATATGAGATCAGTGAGAGGGGTGGGAGGTCGGGATTGACGGGGTGGGGAGGGGTGGGGGGTGGAAGGGGTGGGGTGGGGGGTGAGGGAATATGTGGGGTTAGGGAGGCTGGTGAGGGGGAGGGAGGTCGACGAGGGGTTAGGGAGGTGGGCCCAGTGGAGGGGTGAGGGTCAAGGTGTACGGGAGGGGAGGGGAGGATCTTCCGGGCAGAGGAGAGGAGGAGAAAGACGCTGGGGAGTAGGAGGAGGAGGAGGAGGAGGAGGGGTGGGGGAGAGGAGGAGGAGGAGGAGGAGGAGGAGGGGTGGGGGAGAGGAGGAGGGGTGGAGGAGAAGTATGTGCTATGCGGTAAGCTCACAACATTGGAAGTGTTTGAGATACGACTCGCCATAACAAAGAGCTGCGGCCAGACCACTTCTCATGGGCCTCAGTTTATGACACTTGTGAAGCACTGATGTCGAAAGTTGGCCAAATGGTCGCTGGTAGAAGTATTCGCTCAAGTTGTTTGATCGTAAAAAGCTAATGATCCCTAATGTTATTTGGGAACTTGCCTGGTGATCGCTGCCCTAAATTTACTTTCCTCTTTTTGATGGTCTGAGAAGAATGGAAGCGAGGAGAATGGTTGTTGTCTGAGTGAATGGTTTTTTTTTATCGAGTGGTGGTTGTGGTAGTGGTTGTTGTTGTTCTAGTTTGTGTGGTTGTTCTGATTGTTGATTTTGTGGTTGTTGTTGTTGCTGTATTTGTAGCTGTAGTTTAGTTGTTGTTGTTGTTGTTGTTATAGTTGTAATAGTGGTACTTGTAGTTGTTGTTATTGTTATTGTTTTTGTTTTTCATGGTATAGGAGGATTGGAGACTAAACAACGGCTGCCACCAGAGTTTTTTTACGAATAAACTTTTAACAGTTAGGTTAAAGTTTAAGTTAAATAGGGTTAGGTTATGTTAAATTAGATTAAAGGGTTAGATTAGGTTTCTAATCCACGATTAAGTAACGCGGGACTTTAGCTTCTCCAAAACATTAAGTTCCATTCCTTAAAGTTATAATTCCATCGTCTGAGTAAGAATTTATGACTAGCGTGAGAATTTATGACTAGCGTGAGAATTTATGACTAGCGTGAGAATTAATAATTAGCGTGAGAACTTATGACTAGCGTGAGAATTTAGGACTAGCGTGAGAATTCATGAATAGCGTGAGAATTAATAACTAGCGTGAGAATTTATGACTAGCGTGAGAACTTACGACTAGCGTGAGAATTTACGACTAGCGTGAGAATTTATGACTAGCGTGAGAATTTATGACTAGCGTGAGAATTTATGAATAGCATGAAAATTAATAACTAGCGTGAGAATTAATAACTAGCGTGAGAATTTATGACTAGCGTGAGAACTTACGACTACCGTGAGAACTTATGACAAGCGTGAGAACTTTTATTAGTTTGAGAATTTACCTAGATATAAAATGAACCATACAATCAAACAATAACTTAACACACACACACACACAGACACAGACACACACAGACACACACAGGCACACACACACACATATATATATATATATATATATATATATATATATATATATATATATATATATATATATATATATATATATATATATATATATATATATATATATATATATATGTCTTAGGGTGCCTCGGTTATACACAAGGCCTGGAGGCAGAACTAGGGTCGAGTATTTTTGGTATGGGATAAAACACATACACCTGAGGGGTACATGTGTGTGTGTGTGTGTGTGTTATACTATATACAGTATACGCTTTATTCACTGTCCTTGCCAGAGGTATGATTAACTCACACCTTACACACCTGACTCACACCTGACTCAAACCTGACTCACACCTGACTCACACCTGACTCACATATAACATTAGATAAGTCGTATTTGATTTTAAGAAATAATAAACAAAACACAACTGACTAAGAACGGACATTTCTAATGACTAAATACTCACACCTGACTCACAGAAACTCATAACTGACATATAAATTCTCACAACTAACAGCTAATGACAGGTATATAACACACCTGACAGGTATGTAACACACCTGACAGTAAATAACAGGTATATAACACACCTGACAGGTATGTAACACACCTGACAGTTAATGACATGTATATAACACACCTGACAGTTAATGACAGGTATATAACACACCTGACAGTTAATGACAGGTATATAACACACCTGAGAGTTAATGACAGGTATATAACACACCTGACAGTTAATGACATGTATATAACACACCTGACAGTTAATGACAGGTATATAACACACCTGAGAGTTAATGACAGGTATATAAAACTGACTGGTAAGTAACTCACCTGACAGGATAAATAACTCACACCTGACAGATAAAATAATTCACACCTGACAAGATAAAATAAATATCACCTGACAGATAAACAACCCAGATAAAATAACTCACAGCTGACAGGTAAATAACTCATAACTGACACTGACACTGATCATAATCCTCTTGCTGACAGTTGGCAGGACACCGTTGGAGGCGATATACAGGTAGGCTCCGGCGTGTTATCTCAGATCCTGGCTCAAACAACAGCTCACTCCCGTCCACCAGCAGATCTGTGGGAGAGTGGTGTGGGTGAGTGGTGAGGGTGGTGGAGTGGTGGTGAGGTGGTGGAGTGAGTGGTGAGGTGGTGGGTGAGTGGTGAGTGGTGGAGTGGTGGTGAGGGTGGTGGGTGAGAGGTGGAGGGAGTGGAGGTGGTGAGGGTGGTGGAGTGAGAGGTGAGGTGAGTGGGTGAGATTGGTGGGTGGTGGTGAGGGTGGTGGAGGGTGGTGGGTGGTGGTGGGTGGGGTGGTGGGTGGAGTGGGTGAGGGGTGGTGGGGTGGTGGGTGGTGGTGGGGGTGGTGGAGTGGGGTGGGGGTGGGGGTGGTGGTGAGGTGGGTGGTGGTGAGGGTGGTGGGGTGGGGGTGGTGGTGGGGGGGGGTGGTGGGTGGGTGGTGGGGGTGAGTGGGTGAGTGGTGAGGGTGGTGGAGTGGTGGTGAGGGGGTGGTGGAGTGGTGGTGAGGGTGGTGGAGTGAGTGGTGGTTGAGATTGGTGGTGAGGTGGTGGTGAGGTGGTGGTGAGGGGTGGTGGTGGGGTGGTGGGTGTGTGGGGTGGTGGAGTGGGTGGGGGCGTGTGGGGAGGTGGTGGCTGAGAGGTTGAGGTGGTGGGGAGAGGGAGGTGATTATGAAGTGAGAGGTGTGAAGAGAGATGGGTGAGAGGGAATGAGAGGGGCAGAGTGGGGTCAAGGAGTGAGGAGGGGTATGAAAGGAAGGGGTGAGAGGAAAGAGAGGGAATGAGAGGGAGAGCAGAGTGAGAGGGGAGGTAATGGATGGTCATGAGGTGGCGTAGGTTGTAGCCTCTCTCTCTCTCTGTAAATATCTATATACACATTTTGTAACGTTTATTTGCACACACACACACACCTCCCTCCCTCCACTTTACTTCACACCTCACACACCCTCCCACACCCTCCACACCCTCCCCTCCCTCTACCTCCCCACACGCCCTCCCTCACACACCCTTCCCACCACCTCCACCTCTACGCCCTCCCCACCCTTCCACTCACACACCCTCCCCACCTCTACCTCCCCACACGCCTCCCACACACCCTCCCCACACACTCTACCTCACACCACGCCCCCACACACACTCTACCCACACTCTACCTCCCTCCCTGACACACCCCACCTCTACCTCCTGAAGAGCCTCCCTGACACACCCCCACACACTCTACCTCACACCTCACACGCCCTCCCCACACACACACCCAACCCCCCCACACACTCTACCTCCTACCTTTAAACATTTTTGCTAACATATTCTTCAGGTCTTCCTCGCCTCTGCTCGACACCTTTGCCCTTCTGGTATCTGAGGAATTTAATGTTTTCTTGCACTCGTGATAATATTTTCCTGCTCCTCGGGCAATCAGAATATGTTGTAGTATTTTTATTCCTCAGACAATCGGAATTTATTGTAATAGTTTCCTTCTCAGATAATCAGAATTTATTTAACATTTTTCGTCCTTGGGCAATCAGAATGTGCTGTAATATTTTCTTTCCCGTAAGGCAATCAGAATGTATTATGATATTTTCTTCCTCAGACAATCAGAAGATATTGTATTAAGCAGTCAGAGTATTGACACAACATTTATGATTCACTTAAATTTATCACACTCATAAAACTGTCAATCAGAAAATATACAAATTATCCTTACATAAACACAGACATATCATCGTTCCTTTAGCTTAATATATTTACAGAAACACGAGACGAATATCATCGTTCTTTTATGCTTTGACACGTAACCAAACAAAACGTGAAAGTACACAAGAATCAATCAATTTTATCTGTAAGTGAAATTATGTGACTGTATGATGTTATTGTGCCCGTCAATAAGTTCATATTTATTTTATTGTGTTTACGTTATTGTGTGTTTTCGTCACCAGAGAAATTGTATTATATTTATTGAGGTCGACAGCTAGAAGATAGAAGGGGATTTTATTGTCAATTTGAATCAACTTTTCATCATATTCGCTGCCGCCATGTTGAGACAATATCCTGGAGCACTGATAAATTGTTTCGCCTTTCCTGCCTCTGTTGTCCCTCCTACAATCGTTGAGTGTTAAGTTTCACCTCTCTAACTGTTTCATTTTTGGGACGATGGCTGGAACAGACAGACAGACAGAGAGACACGTATCTATATTATTATTGATGATACACACATGAAATAATACAAGCATGAGTATATATATAAAACATACACATAGAAAAATTTCAAACCATAAAAATCCAATTAAATCTAGTAAGAGAAACACGGGTCACTCCTACAACTTGGTCGACAGAGAAGGAAAAAAATCTGAGAATCTCGGCTCCCAGAACACCTGTATTTAATCCTGTATGCAAATGACACACGACTTTGTCCGCGCTCTCCAGCAAACAATTTAAAAGCGAACTGGTTATGTTGTTCCAAATTTGTGTGTATGTGTGTTGGATGTGGTATGTATTGACTCACATCACAATACATATACATATGACCTCTAGAACACGTATACATAGACGTATGTATACATTACCTATAGAATACATATAGTAGAAGCTATATAATTTGTTTGAATCTCCGGTGGATAATCTCTACTAAGTTATTAAGCTATAATTACCCTACAGGAGTGTTATCTTAAGAGCTAAGGTCCTTTACAAGTCAGTCGTGTCCAAGTAACGTAAATAATGAACAGTTTTAGTCTTTCAGTTCAGGAGTAAATAGATGGTTTCAGTTTTATAATACAATCATCGTCGATATTTGAGTATTTTAAAAGTATTGAGGGATTTCAGGCTATAACCTCAGGCTAGATACATGGTTTCAGTCTCAGAACTTGGGTGAGGGAGGGGAGGGAAGTGAGAAACGGAGAGAAGAGGTAGGAAGAGAGGGAGGAGGTAAGGTTGACGAGAAGAGGGAGGAAGGAGATGGGCGAGGAGGAGGAAGGAGAAGGACGATTGGAAAGGGGGAGAAAGGACGGGAAAGGGAAAGTGGAAGGAGGAAGGAAGCGAAAGGGAACGGAGGAGATAGAGAGAGAAGAAGAACAAGAACAAGAAGATAATGGTGCCTATTTAACCCCATAACTTGAGAGCCATTACAACTAAGCAAACAAAAAAATAACTTAAATATATGCAAACAGTTCAGTGAAGAAGAAAACCAATAAAAATAATAATCTTTTAAGGGGTAACTGAAGTAAAGTCCAATAAACATGACTTTCCATTAACTCTCACTGCAAAAATCTTCAGTTAATTGTCCTGATTTGGATTTCATTTCCAGTGTGTAGGAGAGAGAAAGATAAAGAAGGATATAAAGTGTAAAATAGAGGAGGTCAGGACCTGCTCTTAACACTAGGAGCGGAAAACAGTGATATAATTCAATTGGTGTTTCAAGAATCTAATAGAAATGCTTCCTGTGAGTCGCAAATGGTGAGAATAGGTGGGGGGGTTTCTTTTGTTAATTTATTAATTATTTATGAAGCTAGTGAATCGGGTGTGATCATTTCAATTTTAATATGGCGATTGTCATTTGCGTTTCATCTCTCAGTTCACGATGTGGAATTCTGAACTATCAATATCCAGGTTCTAGACAAGAAGTGTTCTCTCTCTCTCTCTCTCTCTCTCTCTCTCTCTCTCTCTCTCTCTCTCTCTCTCTCTCATCAATGACTCCAAAGTTATTTATTATCCACTCACCTGCCACTCACCTGCCACTCACCAATAACTAACCAATGACTCACAAGTAATTTATGATTGACTTATCGATGTTCCACCAGTGACTCACCAATTACTCACCAACGAGACTCACCAATGACTCACACACACACGACTCACCAACGACTCACCTGTATTACCGGAGACATCGATGAGTTTAGAGTCTTCACGTCTCCACTTGTAGGTCGGCTGAGGGGTTCCTGTAGCCCCACAGATAAGCCTCACCTCCTCCCCCTCCTTCACCTCTGTGTCTTGGCTCGTGTTGGAGTCTATGATCTTGGGCGGAACTGTGGAGGAGAACGAGTGAACGTGAGATGTACGAACGAGGGGAACTGAGGGAAATGAGGAACGTGTGATGATGGGGTGAGGGGAACTGAGGGGAACGTGTGATGATGTGGTGAGAGGGAACTGAGGGGAACGTGTGATGATGTGGTGAGGGGAACGTGTGATGATGATGTGGTGTGGGGAACGTGTGATGATGTGGTGAGGGGAACTGAGGGGAACGTGTGATGATGTGGTGGGGCGATGTGTGATGTGTTGAGGAACGTGTGATGTGTGGTGAGGAACTGGGGAGCGATGTGATGATGTGGTGGGAACGTGTGATGATGTGGTGAGACGATGTGGTGAGAGACTTAAGAGAGTGAGTGGGGCCCAGGTTGACGTCGGCGTTGACAGCTTTTGAAGAATAACAAGACATGGTTCTCTGGCCTCCCCCCCCTCTCTTTCCTCCAGCGTTTAGCTTCAGTATATTACTTCCTCCACCTCCTGCCTGCCCCCTTTCTCCCCTCCCTCCCTCCTCCCTCCCTCCTTCATCCTTCCCTCCAGGTTTCCTCCACTATATTGCTCCCTCCCACCTCTCTCTCCGCCCTCCCTTCTTCCACTCCCTCCAGCGTTCATTTCACTACTCCAATACTTCTTCCTCTTCCCTCCTTCTCTCCCTCCTTCCCTCCAGCATTCACTCACTTTTATCACACTAAGGCCAGGGTAGTTCTTCCTCTAACTCCACAGACTCACAATGGAGACCTAAGCAGAAAAAACTAGACCAGATGTAGTGGGTGTGTGTGCGATGTGCGTGTGTGTGTGTGTGTGTGTGTGTGTGTGTGTGTGCATGTGTGTGTGTGTGTGCGCTAACCCTTTTAAATTTGCACTCTCTCCCTTCCCATACAACCACGCCCTCCCTGAGAACCACATATTCCCTCCCTCCCTCCCTCCCTCCCTCCATCGTATTATGGTGTTGGTTGTGTCAAGAACTATGAAATATCCTTAAGCTTACCAGTCGACAGAGACACGTACAGTATAAAGCTCTCCTGCGGCCGCTGAGGCATCAACCATGAGCCATAAATTCTCGCTGAGGCATCAACCATGAGCCATAAATTCTCGCTGAGGCATCAACCATGAGCCATAAGTTGTCGCTGTTAGCATCGACCTCTGGTCCTGAATCGTATTGAGGCATAAAGTGTTGAGCCAAAAATTATCTCTGATGTAATGACTCTGAAGCATAAATCCGTCTTTGTGATATGTTAGTGATGAGGCGTAAATTCTTTTACCATGAGCTATAAATAGACTGAAAGATCCAATCATGAGTAATAAATTTTCCGACCATGAGCCATAAATTCTCCAATCATGAGTAATAAATTCTCTGACCATGAGCCATAAATTCTTCAAGTATGAGCTATATATTCACCGTAAAGTATTATCCGTGAGCCATAAATTCCCGTTGATGCATCAATCACATTAATAGTGAACTTGTCGCTCGTCTGGATTGTCGGCTTTGTGTAACAGACCTGAATGTGTGTGTGTGTGTGTGTGTGTGTTACGAATTATATAACACCACACCGAGAGCATCAATATAAAACTTACCACACATTAACTCACATAATAATTCCTATATTAACTTCTATATATTATCTTATTACCTTCATATAGTTTGCAATTCCTTAACTATATTACGACATATACGATACATATATGTGAAAGTCTATGGACATTGCCACCCACGTTTCACTAAGTAATTTTGTTTATATAGAGTAGTGTTATGTTATGTTATGTTGTGTTATAGTCAGGTGGGTTAAGCTACGTTAGTTTAGATTAGGTTATATTAGGTTAGGTATTGGTTAAGTTAGACTAATTTACTGTAGGTTAAATTAGGTTAGGTTAGATTTAAGTTAGGTTAGGTTAGGTTATAAACAGTAAATATTCCCTACAATTTAGTAAAGGTTTAGGTACACTTTATTTAAATAAGTATTGCAGGTGGCGTAATATTCCTCTTATTACACTGATGGTGATATTAACGACAGGTGTAATGCTAATCACCTATGTTTATGTAAGGTATTGGACAGGTAGAGGAAAGGTATTGGCCAGGTAGAGGTAAGGTATTGGACAGGTAGAGGTAAGATATTGGACAGGTAGAGGTAAGATATTGGACAAATAGAGGTAAGGTATTGGACAGGTAGAGTTAAGGTATTGGACAGGTAGAGGTAAGGTATTGGACAGGTAGAGGTAAGATATTGGACAGATAGAGGTAAGATATTGGACAAATAGAGTTAAGGTATTGGACAGGTAGAGTTAAGGTATTGGACAGGTAGAGTTAAGGTATTGGACAGGTAGAGGTAAGGCAGGTGATATATGTTAAGTGAGATGTGTATGAGTATTTTCTTGCTGCTGGTGTTGTTGTTGTTGTTGTTGTTCTTCTTCTTCTTTGTGCCTGTTCTTCTTTCTTTCTTCTTTTTCTTCCTCCTCCTCCTCCTCCTCCTCCTCCCTCCTCCTCCTCCTCCTCCTCCTCCTCCTCCTCCCTACCCCCGACACCTTTGAAGGACAGAAGGACTCGTAAAGTTCCTATGAAGAGGAACTTGTCCGTTAAGTCACCAATCTAGGAGGACTGCCACACACACTCCTGGGAAGGACGAATTTCACTTAAGAACTCTAGCCATCTGAAAACTCCTCTCCTCCTCTCCCTCCTCCCTCCTCCTCTTCTTTCTCCTCCTCCTCTTCTCTCCTCCCTCTTCTCCTCCTCTCCTCCTCTTTCTCCGTCTTCTCTTGTTCCTCCAATAAGGTTCAGAATAACTCTGCATATCTCCCCGCAGCTTAGCTCTACACCCACCTCCACCACCTCCACCACCAACCACCCCGAGGTTCTTTGGAGCATAAGGGTGTTCTTTCATAAACTTTTCTGGGTCTTAACTTTTGACTGTTGTGTTGTTATGGGTCAACCTCGCCTCGGCACCACACAATATCTCCTCAACCACAGCTGTTCACTCTTAGGTTAACCTCATATTGTACACTCTAAGTTAACACCATATTGTTCACTCTAAGTTAACACCATATTGTGCACTCTAAGTTAACACCATATTGTACACTCTAAGTTAACACCATATTGTACACTCTAACTTAACACCATATTGTTCACTCTAACTTAACACCATATTGTTCACTCTAAGTTAACACCATATTAAGTTAACACCATATTGTACACTCTAACTTAACACCATATTGTACACTCTAACTTAACACCATATTAAGTTAACCCCATATTAAGTTAAACCATATTAAGTTAACCTCATATTATACAGACTAAGTTAACCCCGTGAGTCTGAATCACCCCTGAGTCCGCACTACTTTAGCCTCATCCACTGTGCCTCATTAAAGCCATGAACACCTGCTAAATTCCCTTGACTCTGAGGCTAACAGTGTGACTCAGTTCTCATTTAACAGGTAAAAAGTTCGTGAACAACCCTGTAAGCTCTGGGATGACGGGTGCAAAGAAACGGAACCTCGGGGCGACAACTGTGATGGTGTAGCTGTCTCTCTCTCTCTCTCTCTCTCTCTCTCTCTCTCTCTCTCTCTCTCTCTCTCTCTCTCTCTCTCTCTCTCTCTCTCTCTCTCTCTCTCTCTCTCTCTCTCTCTCTCTCTCTCCTTAATTTCGTCTATGTAAGGGTCATGTATTATAACATTACGAGTTACTGAGAATAATATACCCCCATATATCGCTATATTAATATATGTTACGGCGGGAGTGAAATATTATTGCTCTATATAAGGTTTAATGAAGCCAAATGAAATGAGGTTATGAGATAATTACACTAATTTGTCTTTTCTGGTTATTAATTACAGGTAAGGACAGGTCAGTTGGGAGGGACCACAGCCCAGGGAATTAATTCGTGAAATGTGATGTGAGTACCAAGTTGTTCTGTGTGGTTACGTTAGGTTATTATATGGTTATTGTTATTATTATTGTTATTATTATTGTTATTATTATTATTATTTATTATTATTAGTATTATTATTATTGTGATTATTATTAACATATCATTACCATCATTGACTTATTATTCACAAATACATTAAAACACTCTAAGTCAAACCTGTGCTTCAATAACCGGATGTATGTTGGTTCACGTGTCCTGTGGGAGATGTTCCTCGCTTAAGTCTCTGTCATGAGTTTAATTATCGGGTTAATATTTTGTCTCTTGTGAAAAACCCAACTGATAATGTTGATATGAACTGTTTTATGTGTCTGTGTGTGTGTGTGTGTGTCTGTGTCTGTCTGTGTGTGTCTGTGTGTGTGTCGGTGTGCGTGTCTGTGTGTCTGTGTCTGTCTGTGTGTGTGTCTGTGTGTGTGTGTGTCTGTGTGTGTGTGTGTCTGTGTGTGTGTCTGTGTCTGTGTGCCTGTGTGTGTGTCTGTGTGTGTCTGTGTGTGTGTGTCTGTGTGTGTGTGTCTGTGTGTGTCTGTGTGTGTGTGTCTGTGTGTGTGTCTGGTGTGTGTGTCTGTGTGTGTGTCTGTGTGTGTGTTGTGTGTCTGTCTGTGTGTGTGTCTGTGTGTGTCTGTGTGTGTTTGTGTGTGTGTCTGTGTGTGTTTGTGTGTCTGTGTGTGTCTGTGTGTCTTGTGTGTGTGTGTCTGTGTCTGTGTGTGTCTGTGTGTGTCTGTGTGTGTGTGTCTGTGTGTCTGTGTCTGTGTCTGTCTGTGTCTGTGTGTGTGTTTGTGTGTGTGTGTGTCTGTGTCTGTGTGTGTTTGTGTGTGTGTCTGTGTGTGTCTGTGTGTGTGTGTCTGTGTGTGTCTGTGTGTGTCTGTGTGTGTTTGTGTGTGTGTTTGTGTGTGTGTCTGTGTGTGTCTGTGTGTGTTTGTGTGTGTGTTTGTGTGTGTGTTTGTGTGTGTGTCTGTGTGTGTTTTGTGTGTGTGTTTGTGTGTGTGTGTTTGTGTGTGTGTGTCTGTGTGTGTGTGTGTCTGTGTGTGTCTGTGTGTGTCTGTGTCTGTGTTGTGTCTGTGTGCCTCTCTCTGTTTCTCTTTCTA